ATGGGCAAAGTTATCAACTCCATAATTTTTGTATGAATTCGCCCTTCGTACAACTGACCCCTTGGCAGTAGGTTTTCCATATTTGATACCTTATCGTCAAGTTCATCGTTAGCGACGACGACGCAGACAGCAAAGTTTGTATTGTTGACGGGTCTCCATGAATAGGTAAAGTTAGCAGTTACTCCACGATAACCTTGAAAAAGATGTYAATACTCAATAATTAAGACTCCACTCTTGTTGTATGGCGTAAAGTAAGTTGTCGCGAACATACCATTAAATTCCGGGTTACCACGTGACAGCACACGTTCTGAGCGCAGTACTTTCGTTCCAGTCTCCCTCCTCATCATCGAAGCATAAACCTCTGAAAATCCTGTTCAAAACAGATCATAAATAATCTTTTTGATTTAATTTCAGACGTCGGATTCCACGCGTGTCGAATGGCATGATATATTAATTACAGTAAACAAAATATTGGTGTAATTTGCATTTTAGTCTTTACATGTGATATTCGACGTTTGAACCAGCCTTGTGGCTCCTTAAAGTGTTACCTGGGCTCTGTTCTAGATTCGTGATTTTGATGAATATTGGTTCGTTGGTGACCAACTCAGGAACAGGTAGAAGAGGATGGATAAGAGCTCGCCCCGTGTTTGTTTCGATTACAAAATTGTACGATAGCTCCCCTGGACCGAATACCTGATAATTGATACAAAAATATKGGCATTATTATGGTTTTCTCTTCTTGAGTTACAATGTGTAATAATCTGATGATTTCTAAGTGCATTTTAAAGTAAATGTAACGGTCGAGTATCTTGCATACCACAGTATTCTTRAGTAGTTTACTCAACGTTGTATCAACACCAACGACCCCAATGAGTTTCTGATAGGAAAGCAAAAACGCTCTTTAGTCTAAAAAAAAAACGTTGCAGAAACGCCACATACTTGCCTAAATGAGATTGTAAGATTGATGATTGTTTGTGATRACATTTTTATTCCTGCGTGTCATTCTGTTAGCTGCCGGCACTAACCCTTCCTGACCGCATTTGCAATATGAATTGTCAACCATTGGTTCTCTTTTAGAGATCACGTGATTCAGACCTGTGAGCCAAACTGGCTGAGCATGCGCAATAATCACCTTCGATTTTGTGTAGCACGGGACACCTATTATAACATACATTCCCAGTCTTTCATCAATCTGAGGAGGKGTCAGCTAAACAGGATATTCAAAGTGATAAGTACTTTTAAGTACAATATTGTACTAAAATATAAATTTTATTTTATTAAAATATTTTACTTGTAAATTGACATGCGTAGTGGAAAAGCCCATAGCACAACCATTGAACATCCGGGCACTTCAAACTGTACCGACACTACTCCGACAATACCATACCGACACTACATCAACACTGCATTCTCCGCGGCTACAATTCAAGACTTACATGTGGTCCTGTGTTTTGCTTGCTTTTCATATTCTTGTAGAATCTTCCCATAACAAAAGCTAAMGAGCTGTAATCGTATATCGTCTGTAAAAAAAGAAAAAAAAAAAGAATGAAAAAACGACTTAATAAATACCCGCAAAAGAGAGTTTCAATTGCAAAAGTTAGTTATTATTAGTTGACTACTGTTGCTTACTGGACAGCCATAATTCAGTCTACGTWTTACGCTCATAGTACTTCAAAACTACAACAAACCTCGAGCTTTCCGCTATTAATTGAAGCCATCTCGCCCAATTTGACTTTGCTGTCCTTGATATAGCTGTGTTTTACTTTACCTACAAGGTGATATACATGGACACTGATGGTGGTTGTAGCATTTCTCAGCAAGGACGTTATGCTTTCTGTGGACGTATCTTGGCTCCCAGTCACAAATATCAACTACAAAAAGAGACAAGATCAACTTTAGTTTGTTGCAGTTGATTTTATCCCAACAAGCGTCATGTAGTTTTCTTGTAGGAATACAATCTCTGTGACAGCTTAAGTCAAAAACTAAGCGATTTCCAGGGAATTTCCAGGGAATTTAGTTAAGTGCGATGACTTTGATAAGTGTCAGTAAATATTTGATATCTTACGTGTGTATCTCGTTTATTTTTTGTGTTTGCTACAAGTTTGAGAGCTGTAGATATCGCGTTGTAGTAGTTGACTGTCTTTTCTGATGCCAACATCACATCCTGAACAAATCTGGAAAAAAAAACACAATATAAATAAATAAATAATTGAGACATAAGCCTTCATTTATGTGCACCACCGAAACGATAAACATACATTCTGACAAGTTTTTTTATTATTTCTTTTCTTTCCTTTCGCGTTGCTTCTGTTGTTGACTTTATTGATATGTTTGTGAATTTTTTCTTCTATCGTACCTTTTGAGATCCTGCTTATTTTGTCCATTCGCTTGGACTAATTGCGACTTGAGACAGCTGTTATAAGTGTCATCGGTTTTCCTACCATGWGTCATGCCCGGTAACAGAGCTGTTTGYGCAAATGCTATCAGCTAAAAAGAAATAAGTGTTAGAACTCCTTTTCGCCTTAACTCCCTTGACTAGCTTTAATCCTGCTTTGACAAAGCAGAATTACTATTATCTGTAATATTTATCTGTTGGCACAGTATGTTTGTTACGTATGTCCTTTACTCTGAGCGAAAAACATACGAAAAAAACCCAGATAMTTAAGTCTAGATACAAATTTTTCATCGCCAAAACACTGCCTAGTACGCGCATGCGCAACTTACGTTGGTAAAATCYTTGCTTAACATGCCATCAAGCACTTGGACAACCGCTGACCGAGCAAACTTGTATTTATTCTCCTCCTTCATGGCGTAGCTAATGTCAAAGAGAATGACGATATTCTTGGGTCCACGTACTCCCTCTATATACCAGGGCTGCAGACGTTGATCCTTTGCACCTTAGATATAATCGTAGGAATCAGATATTTAAGGTGAAGTACCCTTACTATAAGTCTAAAACGTACACAATAAACGGTAAATTCAGATATATATAGCATTACATTTATCAATTTACAACCAGAGACACCACAAAAAAGAGAGACAAGTCATTGTCCAGTTAAAATGTCATATACATGTATTACTTACCACATTTGGTATTGCCTAAGACTTCGGCGGGAAATTTGGTGAAAAAGCCGGTGCTGTCGTCTGTAAAGTATTGCCATGTGAGCTCACCCTTTGAAAAAWCAAGTTAAGACACGTCAGTTGGTTGCGGATTGTTCAATTTGTTGCTGCTTTTGTTGTTGTTGTTGTTGTTGTTGTTGTTGCCGTTGTTTGTTGTTGCTGATGATGCTGCTGCTGTTGTTGTTGTTGTCGTTGTTGTTGTTGTTGTTGCTGATGATGATGATGAMGAGGATGATGATGCTGTTGTTGTTGTTGTTGTTGTTGCCGTTGTTGCCGTTGTTGCCGTTGTTGCCGTTGTTGCCGTTGTTGTTGTTGTTGTTGCTGGTGTTGTTCATGTTTTCATACCTTTTGTGAGCCTGCATCAAAGTGTTTTATCATTTCCTTTTCTAGCGGTTCTGTCCTATAGTAAGCTGCTATCAGCTCATAAGGCATCTATGCAGTAAAGTAAACAAAAACAATTACAAAAATAACATCATTAGCCCTTTATTTAGCTCAAAGATTTAGCTCAAACTTTGTATTGTAATAATAAGCTCAAACTGTGTATCTTTAATTAATAGTAAAAGAAGTTGAATTACCTCTTTAATTGGTTTTGGCCACGACCAGCAACTCTAAAGACGAAAAGTAACACTTGTTACCACTCCTTAAAACAGCTCGTAACATTTCGCTCTTTAACTTCTTAAATCATTGATACAACAGAACGATTATAATAGCAAAAATAGTAATGTAATAACTATAAAATAAAATCACAAAAAGTTACGATAAAGGTTAGTAACTGAATGAAGGTAAAGCAATGGTTAATACAGATTGCATGTCCGCGAGTATGATTTCTGGAAAAAACGTTCAACTGCTTTGGTCATAGAGGCATCACTTACAGATTTTCTGTCGACCCATTTGTTGAAGGTGGTAGAATAGCTAGTATCGCCACTGTAAGTGCAACAACGTTTTTTGGCAATCACTTTGGGGTTCATGGTGACTTCAGCTCTAGTACGCTGTTCGTATTGCTTCTCGATAAGATTCTTTAGCGACAACGTAAGTCGGCGTTTTTCCTCAATTTGGTTGCTCACATAAGCTGCTATTTTAGCAGCAGACTTGGAAGGATTGAGGCGWACATCTTTCTTTTCTAAGCCGAAAAAAAATTACAAAGCTCACTATGTTTCCACACCATCTTGAATGATGATAAATTTTGAAGGGACTTTCTTCAAAATCATTGATTTTTAAAAATATAAAAAAGGTTTGTAAACCCGTTGCACGTACTTGCGTTTTTGTATATCTTCTCCATTTCGTTCACGCAAAGTTTCTCAACGTTCATCTTCGTCGCTTCCTTTGATAATTTCTCTGCAGCTTCTATTACGTCACTTCCGGTGAAAAAAGATCTCTTACTGCAGTTGCAATTCGGGTTGATAATACCTCTGTCCATCAATTTTGGCGCGTCTTTGGTAAATCGTCCTGGATGGATCTTGAACTTTGCTGTTGAAGCGTCAAAGGTTAGGACGTTCCAGTATCGAGAGCAGTTGTACTTGGAAAAGACAGTTCCAGCTGAAACAAGYAATTTATGAAGCAGTTGATGTGTGATTATACTTTACACGGTAAATCAACGATTAAATGTACGAGCATGTGTAAAAAGATATCTAGCTGCGCATGCTCTTGAATGATTTCCAAGTGCCATCCCACATGGCTTAGTGACTCTCCGAGTAAATGTACAAATAAGCAAGTATCCCATTCGTACAGTGTTGACTCTAAAAACATTTCTTACTTTCACTACATTTCGGTTGGTCGATATTATACAACAGTCCACCAGTAGACGCTTGATACACCTTAACGTTTGCATTTATCTTGTCCCAGCATACGCCATTGGTGTATATGTGTACGAAGTAGCTAAAGGTACCCGAGGCCACGCCCTTCAACGTAATGGTCTCCGGACCATGCATATTAGTCGCGTCGACATCGAGACTGATTGCTTCTGAGCCGTGGATACACTTTCTCTCGTTGTAGAATACCTGATAAACCAATCATTGATCAAATAGTCACGCATTACATCAACTGCTATTAATAGTTCTCTCATGTTATGACGTCATGTTTGTTTCGGCCAAATGCATCATGGTATTGYTATATGGAGGAAAATATAAAGATGGCGGATCGTGTTTATGTAATGATAGATAACGCAGTGCAAAACAGCACAACAGCTTTACCTTTCCAAGTTTACACTTGTCAGAAGTTGGCCATGTAGTTGAGATATAAGAGTCCAAATCACGTGGTATTTTACCCCATGTCAGAACGACCCTATACATATCTATGTTGCCTTTCAGAGATAGTTTGGGCGATATTACCAGATCGATGTGAATCATTTCAGAATCCGATTTATCAGCTCCGATGTTGACGACCTCACTTAGCGTGTAGTAACCAATTCTAGATGCGCTGACCTGTTTAAAATGAGAAAAATAATACCGTCTCAATATATATTGCTTTCTTAATTCTGATTACAACTAATTGAAAAAACTTCGCTGGTTCGCCAAAAGATGATACTAACGAGGAAGATGAAGAAATTCGAATCATATTMGCCTYTGATGAAATWACAAAGAATTCTCTAAGGGGTTTTCTGGTCATGTGGTCCAGTACCATGAATTTCTAATCATCGTTGATCGCTAATGATGATGGTGATGATGATAGTATCATCAATGATACAAACACTGATACCTTATAGTATCCCGGCATCACTTTCTCTATAACAGCGACACCATAAGAATTGGTTAGACTGTTGGCTGTTTTCAAGAAGATGCCAGCATTCGACAAGAGAATYCATTCTACTCCAGCTATACGATGACTTCTAAGCGCATCTTTAACCTACAATAGAATCATAGCAGTAGACATGAGAACGCTAGCAATGGAAAATAAAAAGAATAAACGTTGCTAATTAAAAATATCACTAGTAAACGCAGAGGATTCATTTATTTTTAGTAATTATGCCTGCGTACAAAGAAATTCTAAACAGAATAAACGTTGTTTTGGTTTCATACTTTGTCAAGAGACTTCAAACGTTTGGTGTAATTGATTGTGCTAATGTTGAAGTCATATGGCTCTTGACTGCATGAGACTACTTCCGACTATGCTTACGCTTGTGTGTCGTAGTAAAAATTAAGGTTAGCTAATAGTCAGCGTATTGAGAGCTTACTGCGTGGTGAAGATGAGGGAGACATGATTATCGTGAAAGACTAAGTAAAAACCGCCTTCAGATTTAGGGCCGTCCGAGTKATATGGATCTCATACGAAAGAGAACTCATCATGCATAATCAGGAAGTTGTGATTAGACCGCTTTTCGAGAGAACGGAAAAACATAATAACACAAAGGCCGTTTAAAAATATGATTTGGTATGAATACTGACCATCTTTATCCATGTTTTTCACGCAACAAAATTCAGTAACAGAGCACCAATTGGTATTTGCTAACAGTCCAGCAAGAGAAAAAAGCGAAAAAAGGTATCATAGCTCTTATATATATACTTTGAGGAGAATGCTTCATTTACTATCACATTAATGATTTTCCGTTGGCTATATGATTGCGGGATAACTTAGCATGACAAAGGATTGACTTATCAGCGTTAAAGATATAGCAAGTTAAATGTTGGTCTCTAGAGACCTCTAGAATAAGAAAGAACAGCAAAAATAATCTGCTTACAGTTTTTTTTATAGACAAGGATTTGTTGCCGTAAAAATACTTTTTCAAATGCTAGTAAAACTATTTYGTCTTCCTTTGGTTCTAATGTTTAACATCTTTGTGTAATTTTTTGAAGTTTTTTATCGAAATTCGATCTGTTTGCATATTCTCAGTTTTCGAAAGGGTTATGTAAGTACGCCGAAGGCGAGGGTACGAATCCCGTGCTTACACCGCGTGAATTAAAACGAAGGTTAGTGTTCTTACTGGCCAAAACGTCCTGCAAATATTTAAACAACAGAATTTTTTTCTTGTCTACGGAGAGCTTAGTGTCTTTWACATATAAGCTACAATTTCTTACCGTAAATCAACTATTTTTGACTCAAAAAACAAACCTGACAAATCACGGAGACTGTTTCCACGTAAACACCAAACGACAACACCAGAGCAATAAGGAACTTGTCCACACCAATAAGCATATTGACTTCTACAATTAACCAACCAAACGCAAGCAGAAAGAATATTTATAACTTCTCCTGTGTTTCGAAGTAAACTATCATGCTGACACAAAGAACAGAGTCAAAACGTTGTCCTGACTCAAGAACGTATTTGCATTTTAATAAGAAAGGTGATTACATGACAATAGATTGRAAATCTTYCGCTTGTGTATTYATTAGGGTTTCGACCAATCCGGTCCAAAGTGCGGAAGTTTATTAACGCCTCGAAATAAACTGGTTTTTGTTCAAATGAATGTAGGCAAAAATTACAACGGAAGATATTTCTCAAAYATGATCATTAAAATAGCACTGACGCAATCAGATAAGAGTTTGCAAGAAGACTAAATTGAAAGTGATTTTTTGGTAGCTTCATACCGAGGTCTTGTAAAAAAATTTAAGATAGAGCTTTTCACACAACTGTTATAAAACAACAATAGATTTACTGTTTTTGTTTGTGTTTCTTTGTACAGTATTTATCAGTATTTTTTTTTTGTTCTCGTGTTTTTAATTGAAATTACCACCCTATCCATTTTTTAAAAATGAATGCATTATTATTTTCGCTCAAATGTCACAGGATCTAATCTAATTGAATGATAGAGAAGATTGAAAAGAAACTGAGTAACTGAAAAGAAAAAATAATAATTAACCCAAAAAATAACAAAAAACACACCGATGAAAACATAATGAAACAAAGAAGACAATAAATAAATMYAATTAAAGAAATCTGGGTTACCTGTGTTTGRTCACGGATGCCTGTGTTTCAAACGAGGAACGCCTGCTTGAATTCGCGGTTGTTGGTCCGTGAAAATCGACCTAAGTTCTGGGCATTTTAACAATAGCAAATTATCTTAGATTTGCTAACTTACTTCACCAGGATACAAATATATATCTGTTGCAGTTAACTAAAGTGGTTTTTATCATGATTTTATCGTTTAAAGATTATCTCAAGTCTTTAAAGGTATGCCATATTGGTTTGAGACCGTTTCCTTTAGAATGAACTTTTAGATAAGATATTTGCGAAAAATAATTTTGGTTTCTAAAGCTTAGAATGCCTTTTTTAATAATTTTTGTCTGTCAACACACATACTATGTTATTGTTGTTTCGCACAGATCTTTGCACAAGGAGATTTTTTGGATTATCACAACAAGATTCACGTYGTCATTGGWAATGAAGCTTGRGATCTTGATTCAGCAGTCTGTGCAATTGTTTATGCTTACGGCCTCCATAAGGTTTGTAATTAAWWKCAGTAATGCATGGATGTGGTTTATATGCAACTGGCAATCTTCAATTATGTTTGGTTGACAGYTGAAGTCGAATCTTGTCATTCCSGTTTTAAACGTCCCAAGAGAAGACTACAGACTCAGAACTGAAATAACGCACACCATGACAAGATCTGGCATTGAGGCTGATGACTTGATATTCATTGATGAAATAAATCTGCAGATCATGAAGGCTCATGGGGAATTGACTGTGACTCTGGTAGACCATAATATCATTCCAGGTCATCAGGCTTTTCTGAAGGATGCTGTAGTTGAGATTATAGGTCAGTGGATAATTATTAGAAAATATTCATAATCAATAAAAAGGTAAAAAGAAAYAAATGGTAAAAACAGGAAAAAACAGGCCTAAATTGAAATATGAGAAAACATGGAAAAGAAAAAAATGGGAAAAAGAAAATTGGAAGAGAAAAGAAAAGAGACGAGAAAAAGTGAGGAGGAATCACAAAGAAAATGACAGAAAATGTGATGCAATTTTGTATTCCCATTCATGTTTTTTTTCCTTTTTATTTCTATTTCTTACAAAAGATCATCACAAAGAAGAAATGCCATCATCACCAAACTACTCCAAAACCATCGAACCAGTTGGTTCCTGCAGTACTCTTGTGGCTGAAAAGATCTTACAACTAGCACCTGACATCCTAGATGAACAAGTTACTGGTCTTCTACTTGCAGCAATACTAGTAGACACAGTCAACCTTGATCCAAGGGCAGGCAGAAAGACTGACAAAGATGTTCAAGTTGTTGAACAACTGAAAAAGTACTTGAAAACAGATGTCAGTTGTGAGGAATTGTATTTGTCAGTCAGTAAAGGTTAGAAGTGTAGAATTRTTCCTTTTATTCAACATGGCATCCTTGGTGAATTATCATGGAACCAAAACTTTGTTTATATTGRTTTAGTGAGCTTTAATACAAGTAGTTCTTGAATGAAAAAATGAGCCAGCTCACTGTGAAAAGCTGTTGCTTTGGTATTGTGCCTCTTATCAGCAGCAAATATCTATATAGTGCACTGGCAGCTTTCCAATTATGCAGGTTTTAACATAATCAATGAGGTTATCCCYGTCCCACATGGTCTAGTGCCTCATTTCTAAAATAATAACAKTTACATTTTCAGCAAAATTTGACACTTCAACACTAACATGCATGGAAATTCTACGAAAAGACTTCAAAGCTGTCCCAACAAACCAGAAAAGTCATTTATCAATAGGAATAAGTTCCATAGGACTCTCATTGCAGTCTTTTTTCACCAAAGARAACATTGCTGAAGACCTGAGTGAGTTTTCAAAACTAAGAGGACTCAGTGTGTTGGTAGTCATGGCAATGTATTTCCATTCAATGGAAGGACCTCCAAGTAGGCAGCTAGCTGTTTATGGGCTTGATAAAGGTGGAGCTGAAAAGTTGTCACAGTTTTTGAAGGATAAAAAYGAACTGGAGCTTGTTGCAATGGAATCTGTTCTACAGGGTTGTGAATGTTATGACCAAAAGAATGTCAAAGCYTCACGGAAACTTGTGTTTCCTTTGGTGATGGAATTTCTAAACAGCTAAATGTATTGTTGTCTTGTCTAGCCTACTGGTAACTGTTTGGTTTTGTTCTTTGGACCTCTTGTTGAAGGAGTGTCCATCCTCTCCTCCTTGGCTCCTCACTCCTCATTGGCTGTTGTCTTCAACAAAGAAAACCAAGGAAGGAAAAAATAAAAAAAAAAACAACAACAACAACAAACAAACAAACAAAAAGAAAATAAAACAAAAATAAAACTTGCACAAATTTTGCGTTATGAATTTTAAGTTCAGTATTTATCTTAATCCTCAGTAATCAAAGTGCCACTAGTTATTAAAACTCAATTTTTACCTTTTGTTGAATAAGAGTTTAAAATCATCATTAATTGATATACCTGTGTAKAACTATTGCACTGCACAAGTCTTATTCAATGAATAAATATCATTGATGATTCCATATTTAAGTCCTTCATGATTATATATTCAAATTATTGCTAATTTTCAAACAGTTCAGTGTCATCTTGCTTCATATTATTGAGGCATTAGGCATGTTTACTGAAAGTGCAAGCATTGTGTTGAAAATTGGGATTATTTACAGGTAACAGACTTTTAGTCATAATCATTTCATTTTACTCYATATTCACCCCATCATGTTGGAAGTTCAGGTCATTTAAGTAATTACTTTGTTTCAAAGTGTTTTCTCTTCTATTTTTGACATCCTTCATGCCAAAACCTTAACCGCTCCAGGTCTCTTTAGACCTTATGTCTTTACTACATAGCTGAGACAGTCCATAGTATCTCTAAGTGCAGTGAAACWTATGTAGATTTGGCTATGGGGTGTTCATTAACCAGAGAAACAGTCACMGTTTTCTTTGTGTGCATAAAACTTGCTTATCTCTAGCACAGAAGCCACAATTCCTTCACTGTACACATTGCATCACTATAGTGCTCTTCTCATTCTCCAAGTGCTTGAACACATCTATGCTGAGTACTTTAWAKATTTCCCTAACAGCACACACCAGGCTTAGCTACAAGAAATCCTCTTATTGTCATCATAGCAAACAAATACAKGTTTTTCCAACAAGAATCTCATCTTGTACTTTATCACTTGAGGTTGACTTTTCTGATTTGATGGCAATGGCAGAACACAAAAATGCAGCCAGAGTTCCTCCAAGTACAGCYTAGAAAGCCCAGCCTAAAGAGCATTCATTAATAACAAAAGCCTCGGCTTTCTGGTATGACATGGCACAAAGCCTRTCCACGCGTCTGTTGGACCATCCAGCTGGATAGAGTACAAGACCTGTCACCAGAAATAGACCTGTAGATTTAGAAAAGAAATTTGAACTTTAGTCAATACATTCCCTGCTTAGCAGAGGCTTACACGGTAAATTCTGTCACGTAAAAGTACTTTTATGTGACAGAATTTACCGTGTAAGCCTCTGCTAGCAGGGAAGTCAATACAACAAATGATAGTACAGCTAACATTTCAGTTTTTTACTACATGTACATCACCTTCAAACATTTCACATCATTAGTAAGCAGTGCATTAATATGGTACAATGTTTTGCCTTGATAAGATGCTTTTAAAAATGCCGCACTCTCCATTAAGACAAGGTCAAAAAGCAAGGCTTTGATTTCCAGACAAGATGTAAATGATGTCTTTTTAGCTGTCAATTCCTGTTCACACCCAGGTTTCAAATGGGTCTCTCAGTTTGAGGTAATATGGCTAAATATAGGCATTTATTTATAACTATAAAATTATTTTTTAATAAGCTCTACATACCTCCAATTGCTTGTATTAGCCCACCAATGGTAAAAATAGACTTGCGGCCAATGCTTTGTATGCAAAATGCAATCATAGACATGAAGACAACGATACTTAAGATGGAGGTACCAATAACAAGAAATACAATGGTGGCTTTCCACTCTCCTGATTCAATATCATCAAAACTATTCCCATAATACATGCACCGCAATTCCTTTTTGCCTCCAATCAGCTCTGCAATGTTTATGCACCAGTTAATGATCCCAATTGATGGGATCTTTTGAGCATCGTTAAATACAGGTCTRGTTTGATTGACCGATTGTTGCTCAACAGTCATTGATCCTATTAACCATTTTGGGGTGAGAATTCCAGCTACGGTTGCTAATGGSGCACAGACGGAGACAAGAAACCAAAGTAAATTCCAGGTAGTAACAATTATGTAATGGTCTTCCATGGCAGATTATAAATATCCTTGTTATCWAAAGTTAWTTGGTGGRGTTACGCTGGTTCAATATGCAGACCTGTAATCTAAACAAAAGAGAAAATTTGAATGAATGAATAAAATTTCTAATTTCATTGATTAAAGAAATTACATTTAATATTATAACACTATATGGACACTAAAAGTATGCACCACAAATARACTACAAATTAGTGTGCTCAATGTATTATACAACTTGATAAATTATGAAATAATGATGATTATGATGACGATGATGATACCAACATCAAAATAAAAAAAGAATTAAATTAGATGCAAGAAGGAGAATAATCAAACTTTATCTTTTGATCATTTTTCTGGACAGTACAATGAAAACAGTAATACCATGCTTATCAGATCACTGATATCTGACCAAATACCAGCCTCAAGTAGTCTTGATGCTACAATACATTGAAATCAGTGATATTAAACATGCATGACATGTAGTCAAGGACAAGCCTTGACAAATMCTGTGGTCATAGATCTGAAATTCCTTAGTCTGGTCTGTCAAGAGGGAAAATCTGGGAGATATTAAAAATTTGTACAAAAAATTTCTACTAATTCAAAAGTTCTACTAATTCAAAATAAATACAAGTATTAATTACTTTTCATCTGTCCACATGTTTAATTTTCTGAAATTTTTGAATCATTATAACTTAATTGTATTCGAATTATATCTTGTATTCAAAAGTAACTGTTTTTTGAGTTATATTTTGTAATATTTTAAGTAATATCCTTCAAATATTCCTGAAGAGGAGCACACTTGATTTAATTTAGAATTAATTACAGTTAGCTAAATCCACATGGAATACTAATTCAGTGTCTTTGAAATGAACAATATTTATCATGCAATAAAACTCAAATTCAAAAAAACCAAAATCCATTCTAGAAAATACCTGTTTTTGACCTGAGGTATGAAAAACAACCACCCATTGACGAAAGGTCACACTTGTGTGTTTGAAACTGAATAGAAWTTTTTTTATATATTTACTCAAATAATAGCCAGTATGATTAAAATCACCTATAGTGGCACCCCAAGTCCATGTTCAATTAAATTCTTTGGGCGTGAAATTATATTCCAAATTTACTTTATGACTGAAGGCATGTTTATGAAGTGTTTCAAATTGAATTTAAGCAGGAAAAAGTCCTCGAATAGCAGACAAAATCCKCTGAATCAGAAGCTCTCGATAAAGKGCWTTTTATAAATCGTAATTCTTCGTTATAATCGTGAAATCGATTATACAAAATTGTGACAGCAAAATAAAAATCAAAACAAAACGTCGACTTATTCGATTTAACTATTGTTAGGTAAAGTACGCACATAAAAGAAGACCTCTGCATAAATCCGCTCTTTAAGAGGTGCAACAAAGAAAAGAAAAGGTAGAATGTGTCAAGAGATTGGAAAAGCAAACACTATTGAATCGCAAAGAATCAAAACAATCGGTTCTGAATTTCTAATGGACGGCGCGCGCAACATCAGAAGCATTCTTTCGCTTTTGAAAAGTTTAAAAAAATTACTTCTATTTCCAGACATTTGAAAGGATCTAGTTATCTACCTAACTAGCCTGTCGACAAACTAGACTAAACACGACAGAAAATCTTACAACCGTTAGAAGATTAATCTTTGCCGGATGAATTTGAACCACACATATTACAATCATTACACTTTGTGTTATGTACAAGTACAAAGAATAATTTCACAAGCCCTGGGCTTCAGATAAAACTGTAACGAATCATCAAGACGTTGAAAACATTATGAATAAACTCTAGAAATATAAAGCCAATTATTTCCAAAGGTCAAGTTAGATATTTTTGGCAATAAAAAAGCTTGACTAACGCGCTCGAGGGAATCTTATAAGTTAAACACTGTGATAATATTATTTAATGCGTCTGAGAGGAGAAAAACCCGTCGATACAGTCACTTGATAAATAGAAAATTCCTAAAGCTTGTTGATAAAGATATCGAAGTTTGTTTACTTAGGGAAAAAAAGGCTATAAAATATCATGTTGTTGTGTACGGACTAGTCTGTAGTCGGCTGTCTTCGCATTCGGCATGTAGTCATGGATTGTAGTTAAGAAAATAAAGCTGCAAACTTCTCGATGTAGTTTTCAAACAAAGCTAAAACCTTAAAGACTTACTGATCTACTAATATAAAACACATGTTAAAGGACAGCACGAAAAAAAATAAAGATAAACGAAAATAATAAGCTTACCGCTCAGTGGCCACGGTCTTTGTTTTGAGTTGTGTTGAGACGCAGGATTTTTCCTTTCCTTTGTTCACTTTGATGTACAATAGTAGATAACATATGATAGATTGTCTATTCGTCTTAATACGTGAAGGAATTAGAGCAGATCGAACGTCAAATCGCCCAACAGAACTACGTTTTAAATGCGGTCCTTCAAAAGCCACTCAACGCTGTTGAAGTCAGTGAAGTCAGCCGGATGGCGCGAAGTTTGACGGGAAATAGGTGTCGTCTAAATGTCGTCCTACTGTCACGGCTTGGCGATAACATAGAAGCTGTTTGTCATCGGTTATCCCGCCCACTCCGACCAAAACACAACTATTCRTTATTTGAAAGAAGTTCTACTTCTGTATTCCTTTTCAGTTCATTGTCTCGTTCTTCTTCCCCTAATCATTTTATCCCGTCTTTCATTGTTCCGGTTTTTCCTTTATTCTTTTGBGAACAGACTTATTATTTTGAACGGGAAAAACAGGAAACGAAACGTCGCTCCTTTCAAAGTTATATTGCTTTTTGCTCGCCGCAAAGTTAAATTTAATTCAAAATCGAATAGTTGCAGTAATTAATCCAATTTCCCATCCATTCCCAATCCATCTCATTTATGCTCGCTTAGATGAATGACGCATTTATTCTACTAAAGCACCAATTTTCCAGCAGTATCTCCAGTCAGTTTTTAGCAGAAAAAAATAAAAGCATGTTGTTGTTGTATTGGGCTTCCTGTGTTCTTCTCCAGACAGAAAAAAAAACACTCAATATTAAACATTCGTTTTAMATTTCATTATGCTCTTAGCAGTCAATGACAATTCTTCCATTAGCTGAGTGTAATCTAATTTTTCTATCGATATAATTTTCATCTCGATATGATCAGYACCTAAGTGCYTCRCTGATCCGATCACYAGGTCACTGAACCCTCTGGCGCATTTCCACTAATATTCTACCACTGGACCAGCTTAAATCATTCTAAAACTTCAAAATATATTCYTGATATATTGCAAAATTTTCTAATCGTGATTAATTTGAATCGTGAAAAATTWGTAAGGTCTGTATTAGTATGACATACACTGACCTAGAGATCGGTTTAATAGCAATGACGTACTTCCGGTTGCATTAAATCCAATATTGTTTGAGTGAGTMCTCGATTAACGCGTAGGAAATTTGCTGACGACGCTAGAGGCAAAAATAGAAATGCCGACTTATGGAGGTTCTACCACGCGAATACCAGTACAGCTAGCTCAGTACTGAACAAATTGCTCTACCCATAACCACCATCATCATTTTGTTATTGTTTTTGCTGCTGGATTGTCATCGTATCGAAATGATGCGTTCTTTGAAATGTTGCTAAATAAGTACCAGACCTTACTCAGGTAGCTTGACAGCACTGATTAATCCAATCCTCACAAACTTTCAGCATCAAATTATCATGATAATATATATCTCAACACTTGTACAGTAAAAGTAGAAAATCTGYAACACTTTAATTAGTATAAATAATATGAAAAAAGCAGAGGTTTCCATGAATAAAACCACGACCACCTGCACTAAAAAAACACATCAAATTTCTATAATTCTGATAACTTTTYACCTTTGAGCAGACATTCGTACGACTTGCGGTTTTTCCGTCAGTCGATATTAAAATACTGACTGAATACCCATCGTATTTGTGGTTTTTACTMTTTCCAAGTGTTTACTGCAGCAATATCCGCGTAAGTATTTAAGTCCCAAGAAAAAAGAAAGCGCTTTCATCGGCAAGAACCGAACTGACAACAAAGGGATTATACGATGATTAAATGATTCATTTCGTCAGCTCAACTCAGCTGGCTTCGGGCTAATGAGAYTCTCACAAGAATTCTCTATCCAGCTACCGACCGGATGCTCAACCTCTTATGGGAGTCAGGGAAGGGGGAACCTTGGGCTTCCTGTGTGTCATCCCATGTACACAGCTGCGTTCCGGCCCTCTGTTCGGAATACGACTAGRAAATCATAATGCGAGGCCTGTTTGCTCAAATATATACATTGCATTTCMCCCGACGGGCGTGTTAATGTAATATATAAACAAAAGTGTTCTTCTTTAATTCTTGCAGGTTTTGCACTAAGAGAACTGATATAAAAACCGGGTTCAGAAGGCCACCATTTGTTGCCTGCCGTAAAAAGACTCGTACAAACATTCTAACCACACAAACCACAAATTTTTATATGAATGTAACTAWACATAGCCGTAAATTTGATAGTCACTAATAGGGCGGTCCAGAAAGGGGAGAAGCTTGCCAACAACAGTTCGACAATCTTCAGTAATTAGATAATCATCAGTAATTTCTGGTTTGATTGCTTGATTGCCGAAAAGAAAAGAAAAAGGATACAACTCTGGTTACGATGTTCCTTGATAGGGAATCGAGCTCTTTCAAATTTTTTATCGTGAAATATAGAATTAATACGCTAAAACATGAAAAACAAAAATAAAACAACATGGGAATAAATCGGGAGCATCTTAGCTTACCGCGCCACATCACGGAATCTCGGCGTGTCTTTGGTGCACCCTTCGTTCCGATAAACTCGCTCCTTGCCTATCAACTCGATCGATACTGAGTGTTTTGATCTACTGATAATCTCATGATACTGACGTTTTAGACTTTTTAGACACTTTGATGATACCACTTAATCTCGCATGCAAAATCAATGAAATCAGATACAGCCCTTCACATGAGCATTTTGTGTTTTTTTCTTCTTGGGCTTCCTGTGTGTTAAGCTACCTCTCAGCTCCAACGTCAAGAATGAATGTTAATGTTGTAGTAGTGAAATATATAATTGATATGAAATCCGTACTGTAAGGCAAAGAGATAATGAGGCGTGCGGAGGAGTTTCCTTATGATCATGCCCAGTGTAGGCGTGGCTTCTCAAGCTGGGAGTGTGGGATGCCTCAGATCACTTTTCAGCTCAGGATATCTTATATAAGAATGACTAGTATTTTTCATGGTCATAATCGGTCAGCAATCGTATGTACAACACATTTWGTTTGCTTGATAAATGCTAGGCATGATGTAGAATTCGGGTTTAAACTCGCTGAGTCGTACGAAAATCAGGAAAAATACTAAGTTATTTCTGAATGACCACAAGTCACATGATAACGACCAGTGCAGAGGTCCTGACGCACCCTGAAGGCAGCTAAATACCTCTACCGCAGACTATACTGACTCGATACTTATCCTATAGCTATAGTGCCTGAATACTCAGTGTGTACAGGTCAGGGCTGTTTAGATAGAGTTTACATTTATTCATTAGTTGGGAGAAACCACAAGGAAGATAAGATTAATCCTGGACTCGATCACGGTGGAAGTCCCATGTGGGACACATTTTAGATATTGAGAGAGTGGAATCGTTTCAAATTAATATGATAAAACGCTAGCGCTTTTACTGATCTACCGACCTTCGTCGGCTAACTGCCTTTCACGCCCTCCTATAGTTAGCACATTGGATTTATTTTATCAAAGTTCGCACAAAGGATAAAAACTTACAGAGACTGGAGATGAATTAAGGACTGTCTGGCCTATTATATCAACTGTCTGGCCACGTTAACGTTTCTATTGTATTATTTTCGCAAGGGACACAAAGCAAGGGATCAGCCTGGACATCGGCCCAGCCGGCTTAAAATGATCGGTCCCTACGCAACACTCCTTTGCGCTTTCCTGATTTATACATTCGTTTCCCATTTCARTACTGCTCATGAATCAATTTAGAATTACTCACCTGCTGTCAAGGACTATTCTTGAGATGCCGTTCTTACCATAAAAKAGAGCTTAAATGGAAGCGTTCTATATGCCCATCTGATACCAGTAATCCAAGGCCGATGTCATATGAACAGTGGCAGTCTTTAATACTGCTATTATATAGTSAAAAGGTTATCTCTAAACTATCGGTATTTTCAGAACGTCGTGCAGACAGCTACAAAAGACCTTCGCGATAACGYTATACTTTTCATTGTGTTTTTTGCCAAGAAATCTAATCAATGCAGATATTTACTCTGGTCATAGATTAGAGGATATCTTTTCAATCACTTGAAACTATTGGTCTTGCTATACGAAATTGAGTTATTGTGACGAYGTTTCACAGTACTTTGGTTCRGRGATTTTTTRCCCTAKAAGCTTGCAAGACATTGGAGGTGACATTTTATGGATTCTTGGTGTGCAACCACGTGACCAAGAATCCCCTGAGAAATAAAGAACAAAGCTATSGCCGCCATGTTGGATGAATGAGCTAGAAAAACAAATGAGGAATGCTTTGTGATCTTCATCCAACAAGGCGGTGATGAAGTAACTTGCACGCCAAGAATACCATGACAGTTTGTATTCAAATATATTTTAATGAATTTCTAATAGGATAATTAATCAATGATTAATTAATCAATGATTAATTATTAATTAATTAGCTATTACAAATTCCTTTCTAACGATAAAAAAATGAAGATCTATATGACACGCAAATTTGAACAATCACAGATGCTATTCCCARATGGAACTGCATCATCGAAAGTMATCTCCTCTTCCCTTCCATTCCCGTTTTTGGAKGGCTCTCTACCCTTCCCATACCYCTGACCATCTGCATGCAAGTCACCTGAGCTACTAAATGATACCGTAAATCATCCAAAATTACGMTTTTTAATCTACATCATGTAGGGTGAGTGAAAGTCACTCACTCGGTCAGCAAGAGTAACTGTTTCAAAAAGTACTAAACTAATRTCATATACACCTCACTTAAATCATAGATAAAAGAGAATAGTACTCTATACTATGCTTAAATTAACAACTTCCTTAGATGAGTGAGAGTAGGACTAATATTATCTGGCACAGTCCGTTTCTCCTCATTTCACCACAGAGAGCCCAACAAAATGGAATACTCACTGCAGAAACTTATGACTAATGTTGATTTATATGTAAATATAGTCACTATATATCCCATCATTTCTACTACAAAACAATAGAATACACGACTCCAGTCGTAGTACTAGTAAAAGAGTCTAATGGAAAGATCAACAAGTTTTTATACAATAAAAATGAATTGAACTCAACTGATATGCCAATACTCCATTTAAAAGTTCAAAGTGCCATCTTTGAGAAAAGTCTTTTAATTAAAATGAGACAGGCTTTGAGCATGCAATGACAGACACCTTTTATCACATCTAAGACAATTGTTCAAAGGTATCTATCATTGTTAGCTCTGGCTGGGCTACCTTTTAAGATGGCACTAGGAGCTGTATATTTAAGTGGAGAATTTTAGTTTTTTATGCTTTAGATTACACAATTATTAGTGTAATACATGTACCTGGCCATATATTCTATACAGTACACCTTCAATATTTGGTATTAGTGCAATCCAAAAATACCCCAATTTCCCATTTGTAATTATTCATATTGGATCTATTATATTCTTATTTTTTATGACTTAAAATTTGCTAATGATGAGAGATTGACTTTTGGTAGAGAAGGCATGGACGGTAGCGTWAGGTTAGGTTTTGAAAGGTTGTGTAG